AAGTTAAGGTATCAATCTCTTCGGTACCTACAAGGTCAGGTACCACTCTTCCCAGCACCTACAAGGTTAGGTACCACTCTTCCCATTACCTTCAAGTTCAGGTACCACTCTCCCCAGTACCTTCAAGATTAGGTACTACGTCTCTCAGTACCTACAAGGTTAGGTACCACTCTTCCCAGTACCCTCAAGATTAGGTACTACCTTTCTCAGTACCTACAAGGTTAGGCACCACTCTTCCCAGCACCTACAAGGTTAGGTACCACTCTTCCCAGTACCCTCAAGATTAGGTACTACCTCTCTCAGTACCTACAAGGTTAGGTACCACTCTTCCCAGTGCCTTCAAGGTCAGGTACCACTGTCCCCAGTACCTTCAAGATTAGATACTACATCTCTCAGTACCTACAAGGTTAGGTACCACTTTTCCCAGTACCCTCAAGATTATGTACTACCTCTCTCAGTACCTACAAGGTTAGGTACCACTCTTTCCAGCACCTACAAGGTTAGGTACCACTCTTTCGAACATCTATAAGGTTAGGTACCACTTTTTCCAGTAACTTCAAGTTCAGTTTCCACTGTTCTCAATATCTTCACGTTCAGGTACCCCTATTCTCCAGATTTAAGAATCAGGTACCCCTGACTTCAAAATTTAAGAATCAGGTACTCCTATGTTCCACATATACCAGAATCAGGTACCCCCAATTTCGAAATTTAAGAATCAGGTAGCCCTATCTTCCTTATATATCAGAATCAGGTATCCCTGTTTGCAATACTTAGGAATCAGGTACCCCTATCTTCAATATGTATCAGAATCAAGTACCCCTATTTTCCATACTTAAGAATTCAGGTACCCCTAGTACCTGCATTCACGACTTCAGGTACCCTTGCTCTTGATCTAATATAATGCAGGTACTTCCAGTCTTAAGATTCATAGATCAGGTACCCATAGTATCTTTACCCACAATTTCAGGTACCATCGCGGTTAGTAGATACAACTTCAGGTACCTTTAGTTTCACAGTTTGTCGATCAGGTACCTCTCATATCTGTATCTACAATTTCAGGCATCATTGCTCTTGATATCTACGGGTTCAGGTGCCTGTAGTCACGAAATTGTCGAATCAGGTACCAATAGAATAGTTTGAGGTACTCCATGAACTCAGTATCTCTGTCAGGTATAATTCAATTTTACAAAAGAGCTTGATGTATTTTGAATTTAAGAAAAATATAAAAAAGATGTTCAGGTACTTCTTATTCTTGTCATGATTAAAGTACCTGTACATCTATCCAGTATAAATTAGTGAAGAGACATGGAATTTGAAGGTCATTAGAAATTCATTTGGTAAATCTCGGTAAATGATGTGGCAGAGATTTGATTGATTAAACATTTCTCGTCCCTGAAGCAAGTGCTTGAAATCCGTTTTCGACTATTTCAGTACCTACCTTCTCAAGCACATTTCTTCGAACCTCTCTCTTTTATTTCTCTTATTTCTGAACGCATACTGATCGAGCATTAGCTGATTGCTTTCGAATAGATACGAGGTCGTTCACTCCGACGGATTCACGATTATTGCGTACCATTTTTTCTTTTAATTAATAATCTTGGCATGCAAACATATTGTACTTAATTGTGTAAAAGTAGAAATTACTACGAGAATGTTAATAAGAAAATTTATTGGAAAGATTATAATTGTTGTGATACAATTTGTCGTCGGCCTTGGTCAGGAAAAGTTGCTTCCTATGCTTTTCTTCGCATACGTGCCTCTATATTTTAAGTTTCCTGACTCACCATCAGGATGGAAACGTTTCCTTAGTCATGTTTACGTAACTTCTTATTTTTTCCATTGTAACCGCATAACCAAACACTGATTAAATCTTGTGCATTCTTTTTGTTAGCGATTGGCAGATCAAGGGCTCGCCCTATACCTCACAGGCAAGTTGTGAAGTGTGGACATTGGAGGACTTGAGGATTTGGGGATTTGAGGATTTTGGGGAGGTGAAAATTTGGGATTTGAGGACTTTGGGGTTTGAGGATTTAGGGACTTAAGGATTTTGGGATTTGAAGATTAAGGGACTTCAGGATTTGGGGATTTGAGGATTTAGGGGAGTTAGAGATTTGGGATTTGAGAATTCAGGGATTTGAGGATTCAGGGATTTAAGGATTTAGGGGAGTTGGAGATTTGGGATTTGAGGATTCAGGGATTTGAGAATTCAGGGATTTGAGTATTCGGGGATTTGATGATTCAGGGATTTGAGTATTCGGGGATTTGAGGGTTTTGGGGTTTGAGGATTTAGGGATTTGAAGATTAAGGGACTTCAGGATTTAGGGGAGTTGGAAGTTTGGGATTTGAGAATTCAGGGATTTGAGGATTCAGAGATTTGAAGATTTTGGGGTTTGAGGATTTAGGAATTTAAAGATTAAGGGACTTCAGTATTTGGGGATTTCAGGATTTAGGGAAATTGGAAATTTGGGATTTGAGGATATAGGCACTTGAGGATTTGGAGATAAGAGAATTCTGGAGTTTGTGTGATTATAGAAATTTGAGGATTCTAGGGTCAGATGATTGGGAAATATTAGAGTCCTGGGGTTTGGGTGTCTGTTCAGCTAAGAACCTTGTAAACCTAGAAATTTAGACACATAGTACTTTGAGAACATAAAAATGTAACAACCGAAGTACTAAAAAAGTCCAAAATGTAGTGACTTCTCCCAGAACAAAAGAACTTTCGAATTCGAAGAAGTCGCTATATCCCATTCAACAGATATTCGAATGCTAGGAAAATGGTTAAAATTCAGGCATAGTCCGGAATTTATGGACCAACGCAACGTATCGATAAATCTTTGCACAACGTGTATAAAATGAGGTTGAAAGTTTCACTTGTACAACCTTACGTAACTCATGCCAACATACTCAGACCTTGTTATTTTTGCATCTCGGTTTCGGCTCTATTATCTTCTCGTTGTAAGTTATAAATATGTTGCTACACCCAACAACAGAATTTTTTTATTCTCTTACAGTTACTTATATTTATAGGTTCATCAATTTTTTAATTTTGAAATTATCAAATTTCTGAATTTTGGGGTTATCAAATTTTGTATGTTTTTAGATTTCTTGATTTTCGAGTTCTGGAATTACTGGATTCCATCATTTCTAAATTATAGAATTTGTAGATTCCATAATTTTCAAATTTTTGGACTCCCTAATCCCAAAATTTCTAGAGTCCTAAATTCCCAAATTTTTAGAGTCATAAATTCCCAAATTTCTAGACACCAGCTTCCTAAATTCCCAACTTCCTAAATCCCCAACTTCCCAAATTCCCAACTTTCTAAATCCCCAACTTCCTAAATCCCCAACTTCCCAAATTCCCAACTTTCTAAATCCCCAACTTCCTAAATTCCCAACTTCCCAAATCCCCAACTTCCCAAATCCCCAAATTTCTAGACCCCAGCTTCCTAAATTCCCAACTTCCCAAATCCCCAACTTCTCAAATCCCCAAATTTCTAGACTCCCAAATCCCCAAATTTCTAGTCCCCCAAATCCCTAAATTTCTAGACCCCAACTTCCTAAATCCCCAACTTCCGAAATCCCCAGCTTCCCGAATCCCCAACTTCCCAAATCCCCAATTTCCCAAATCCCCAATTTCCCAATTTCCCAAATCCCCAACTTCCCAAATCCTCGACTTCCCAAATCCCCAAATTTCTAGATCCCCAAATCCCCACCTCCCCAAAATCCAAAATACCTATAATCCTAAATCACCTCCTCCTCGTGATCTTCAGAACATATCCTGGGAATCTAAACTGCTTTGGTGACTCGTGGGAAGTTATAACCGCTACTTCATCATTACTCTAACATGAGTTATATAAAGCTGGTTATAAGCTACGAATAACTACAGTAACCAGGACGTCGATTCTAAATAAAAGTGAATCCCGTAAATGTACATCCTTCCAAGTATAACTGTTCAGTTTATTACCTCTTAATACTTGACATTTTCTGTATTTCCAAATATCTAAATTGCTCGCATCCTCAAATTTCCCGCCGCAATTAGATAACAGATCACGTGACTGTCACAAGTATTATACCTCGCCATGACTTCCTTTTTTTAACGTCACAGCATTCTAATCGAGTAATTGAATTAGCCTTCGCGTGGTAAAATGATTTGAACTTTGCTCCAAGTAACACGAGTTCCTTGTTATTTTCATAATTTCACGTGCGATTCAGTTAGGACTCGCCTTAAAATTTGTTGTCACCTAACCTGAAAACTTCACTTCTCAATTTGATTATTTTTCCATCTGTGTTCTTCGTATTATTTTAGATATGTAGTGTAATTAATTGGAAAATGGAGGTGTACATTTTTCCACAATTAGAACTCCAAATATGTACATCCCACAGACTAGTGTCGTAAAGCTGCCGGCGATTCCATCGTACCAAATACGGAGGCCATCTACTGCTCCGTCAATTAGCATATGCGTTGGCGGGTACGCATGCTTTTAATCATCCATGCGCACCCCAACTATTTCTATTATGTACCTTAACCAATTAACGCTAACACCGCATTGTTCTCTCAGACCGAACGTGACATAAGTTCGGTTCCCAGATTAATCACGTTCTTTACACTTGTTCATTTTTACAAATTTATATATTTGTAATTCCTTGTAATTGTAATCCTAAAACTTTCCATCATTTTAATTCTTAAAACATGTGCGAAACACGTGTTAAAGATTGTAATGTTTTAACTTACCCGCCAAGTGGACGTCTACCACGTGACCTGTTTAGAAGCGAGCCCTCTGATTGGTCGAGTTACCGATAGAAGCCAACATGGCGGCGCAGCGTGCAAAACGCGCTAATACTTTTAACGCAACCTAAAAATCTGTCGTATTTAAACTAGCGAACTCTGCGCGCAAGAACTGGTATTTACTGAATGTAATCGACCTCTGACGAATTTAACAATGTTGCCGCCGCAAAGTTAAACTAATAGAGCAAGAGGTAAAAACGAAGAGGTATGAAAAAATTCGCGAATATCCATGATATTTTTAGCGCGTAGGTGCGTGTGTTGGAAGAAATATTCGTGGTGTCTGGCACGGTACGCGTCTGGCACGTTCGATGTGTATAGATATAAACGGGCCTTAATGGGTCAACGTCATACGGTAAAGAGACGCTTGTGCACTGCAAAACCTGTAACTTCGGTTACTTACACTCCACGAACGTAACAGCGAGCGCGGTTACGATAAATATTCGGGGAGATACTGAGACAGGCTTCCGCATTCTCTTGAACCCAGCCCTGACCACAGAATTCGAAAGATGCGTGTACTGCTCGCCGAGCAGTCGTGTTATTAAGCACGATTTGTATCGATATCTCGTTCGTTATCGACCAATGTTAATTACTCGCATATTGTCTTGCTGTTATCTCGCACTTTCAAACGATCTAACGGTAGCTATCGATCGATTACTTTCTTTATAACTTTAAGGTTATGTATTCTGTTGACATATGTTTTCGATGTATTTCGTTGACGAAATTTTATTGTTTCTAGATTCGCTGATGAGATGAAAAATTCTTTACATCTAAAATAGGAAGTGAAGTTTGGATGAATGAAATATTTGTGTGAAGTGTAGGATGAAGATGCCTGTCAAGTATTTTGACAGGTTTGAATGCACGTGTGTATGTATAGTCCCATTATAGATATTATGAACATAACAAATATTTGTTGTTAGAACATAATTTGGTAATAGAACATAACAGATTTATAAATTATTGAAGGTTGGCTGATTTGTCTGAAATTGTACACATGTCTTAATGGTTATGGGTTTCTACCTGCGGCGAGTCGAGAAACGGCCAGTTCGATGAAAGAAAAGATGGACAAAACGTTCCAGGACGGTTCCGTTAGTTCGACCAGCCGAGATGCCTACTCGAAAAGCGAGAAGAAGAAGAAGAAGAAAAGGAAGAAAGGAGGGAACGGGATTCAGATATCGTTGCTTCACCATTCGTTCATTCCTTGCATTTCCCAAATATTTTTCACACTTTCAATCGCATCGTTCGAGGCGAGTAGCTGACTCGCGGAACTGCTTATCGATGAATATCGATAGCGTCGTGTAATGTTATCGATAATGCGATACGATATCGTTAAAGTGATTAAATGACTGAAGCAGAACGTATCGTGTATACTCGTCATTCTAATTTAATTGTACTTTGAGGTTAGCTTAGGTTTGAGTGCACATAACAAATAGATTTGAATGATAAAATTTAAACAAAATTAACAGTGCAGTCTGGTTAAATAAATATTTTAGATTCATTTAATGAAACAGTAGTGAAATAATCTAACTTGGTAGACTGTCTAGATCTAACTTAGGAAATTAAATGAATATAACTTAACTTAGTAAAGTTACCTAACTTTAACTGAGTAAAGTGACCTAAGTAACCAAACCTTAACCTAACCAAAAGGTTGTTAATTTAATTTACTCTGACTTACAATTACAACCTATTCTAACTAATATAGTATCTGATAAATTAACCTAACTTAACTTTAAAATAATTTAATAACCAGACAGAGTTAAATAATAAAACCCGACCTAACCTATCCTAACTTAATGTAGATACGAGCAAAATAATATTGCATATAACAGTCTGCTTCGGTCATTTGCATCGAACCCAACATTATCGATAATCAATATTTTATTTCAAAGAAAATTTTAGTTCCACGGTTATTTCGTACCGTTCCACGCATTCAAGTCTCTTTTCTCTTCTACTCATGTCTGCTTTTTACCTCGTCGCGGATCATTCAGGAATTCTATCGACCAACACTTCGAGGAAAACAAACACGTTCAACGAGTTTACGTTCTTTTTCTTGTTCTTTTTTTTTTAACGGTGCAGAGAAACTACCATGTTGATCCGTACAATTCAACTTATTGGTTTCTCTCGAGTTGACTCGTTGATCGACTGACCAACATTCGACGTGCATTAGATTATTCACGGATCCTTGACATTTAATGCATTAGTTCTGAGAAGTGCAGGAAATTGTTTTGATATACTTTTAATATAGGACTGCGATTTACTGTTACATTGTGCTGTTATGCTCTCACGTTTAGGAACATATTGCCATATTTTTCCTGGTTCACAAGTTACCATATATTATATAAAATTTTATATATATATTATATGTATTATAATATATTATATGTATTATAATATATTATATATATTATACATATATTATATAAAATTTGAAAATTACAAAACTTGTAAATCTTCAAGATCATACATTTCTCAAAATATTTAAGTCCCTAAATTTTTCAAATCACCAGATCATCAAACTACAGAGTCTCTAATACCTAAACTCCAAAATCCCCAAATTGCAAGGTTCCTATATTTTTATAGTTCTCAAATGCCCAAGCCCTAAATCCCTAAACTATAAAACCTCAAATTCCTTAATTCCTATATTCCCAAAATCCTCAAATCTAAAAAATCTCAAACTCCAAAATCCTCAAATCTAAAATATCCCAAATTTCAAAATCTCCAAATCTTCAAACCCTAAATTATAGAATCCCCAAATCTTCAAATACCAAATTCCAAAATCCCCAAATCTCAAAAAGCTCAAGTTTTAAAATCCTTAAATCTAGAAAACCCTAAATTCTAAAATCCCCAAATCTGGAAAACCTCCAATTCCAAAATCTCCAAATCTAAAAAACCCCAAATTCCAAAATTCCCAAAAAACCTCAAATTCCAAAATCCCTAAATTTCTCAAATCTGCAAGTTCCCAAATTCCCAAAATTCTAACATTCCCCAGATCCCAAATTCCCAGATCTACTCGGGTGTAACCAGAATCAACGAAATGGCGAAATGGGGGCATCATGGCATAATAATAGTAGTTGCAACGGCAGATTCGCGTCGTCTGCTCGTCTATTAATAAATTTAAAAGAGGACCATCTATTTTGGAAACGATAAGCCCGTCTGAACCGACTTGTCTCTGTTTGATGAACATTGTTACGATTGGTCGCATTCTTTCCTCATCTGCATTTTCTTATATAGCCTAAAATCTGTCATTGTAAACCATATATCACAAGTCTCATTCTAAAATGAATTTAAAGATTCTTAACATATACTACAAAAAAATAAGTCATTAATTTTATTCAATATTAATCTTGTAATTATCAACGCTTTAAGAAACTGATTTAATTACTTCTTAATCTCTTAATCATCACAAATTAATTGAAACTGTTTAAACACGTGTTCTAACATTGTCTAACAAGTACAAACTCCATAAAATCAGTACAAATGATCATACTAATGTAAATATAATGACAGCAGTTCAATTAGTAAGACGTTTCAACACTGTCATCTACACACAGACAGTAAGAAAATTAACATGGAAGAGTGAAGATAGTCATTGCATATGCGGGTCAGCTTTTAGTGTAAACGGGTTTATATTTCGCTGCTGCTTGCTTGAAAGACACGCTAACTGACTAACGGGATACGCGTCGGACAACGTGACAAAAATTGTGTCTTTCTAAAACAGGGAATAATGATAGACATTCTACGTTAATTCTAGTTTTAACGGAGTAATTACAACGGGTAATTATACTACAGTTACGCTGGTATGGCATTTCTACAGTGCAGTGTAATTACTGTTATTTTTACTTTTATTGGGGCAGTTAGTGAATTTCTAGGATTTTTGGGGTTTTCAAATTTTTATGAATTTTATGAGGTTTGTAAGGTTTTTTCATTTTTGGGGTTTCAAATTTGGGAGGGGTGAATTTTTCAAAATTATTAATTTCTATATTCCCAAAATGTAATATTACCAAATTCTCACGTTCTTAAATCCCTACATTCTCAAATTCCCAGATTTACAAATTCCCATACTCCCAAATCCCCAGATTCCCAAATTCCTACACTCTCAAATCCCCAGATTCCCAAATCCCCACACTCCTAAATCCCCAGATTCTCAAATTCCCAGATCCCCAAATTCCACACTCCCAAATCCCCAGATTCCCAAATTCCCACACTCCCAAATCCCCACACTTCCAAATCCCCACACTCCCAAATCCCCACACTCCCAAATCCCCAGATTCCCAAATTCCCACACTCCCAAATCCCCAGATTCCCAAATCCTCAGATTCCCAAATCCCCACACTCCCAAATTTCCAGATTCCCAAATCCCCACACTCCCAAATCCCCAGATTCCCAAATCCCCACACTCCCAAATCCCCAGATTCCCAAATCCCCACACTCCCAAATCCCCAGATTCCCAAATCCCTAAATTCCCTAGTAATTCCCTACCTCCCATAATCCCTAAATTCCCAAATAACTCCCTATTTCCTCAAATCCCCATAATTCCAAACCCCTAATTCCCCAAATCTCCAACTACCATCTCAAATCCCCTGAAATGAAAGTCCACCCATAAACGGCGATATAACTAGATGTCTCTACTTTCCGCAACAGCGTACAGCAAGTGGACTCTAGGTCCATACTGGTCTCCGCCTACGCCAGTGACGAATTTTGTATACACTGACGAGACTGCGTATACAAGCCTTATTTGTACACTGACTCATCCAGATAACTTATTTCCAACGCTAATAAATCCATCGTAAGCCTATTATCTTACGTTTGGCAACAATTTTTTCCGATATCGGTGGAATATGAACACGCGATTCGCTTGTGTAACTGATATATGTCCGTATGTGTCGTCACGAATGGGAAACTGAAAGGCAAATCCGTTCAAGGTACCCTCCGTTGAATACGATTTAATTTATTGGGTTATCACATGAGTACTGTCCTTCTCTCAATTGATTCTGAAATGAGAACGGACTGTTACCTTCGTTCTGTTACTCATGATCAGTATGTATTAGTTGGTTAACAATTAAGTCTGACTTGTGACGCACTCATGACGCATTTGTGATTCCTTCAGAAGGCACTCGTGACGCACTCATGACGCATTTGTGATGCCTTCAGAAGACACTCGTGACGCACTCATGACGCATTTGTGATGCCTTCAGATGACACTTGTGACGCACTCATGACGCACTCGTGATTCCTTCAGAAGACATTCATGACGCATTTCTGATGCCTTCAGATGACACTCGTGACGCACTCATGACGCACTCGTGATGCCTTCAGAAGGCACTCGTGACGCGCTCATGACGCACCCGTAACGCAGTCATGACGCACTCATGATGCATCCGTGACGCAGTCATTGTAGCTGTCATTACTTTGAATGCACTTGATACGTTATAGTGCAAGAGGTTAAAATATGGAATGTTGTTCGTGCTCGTTTGAAAATGGAACCTTTGCGATTCTTCGCGAACCTCGTTTCATCTTCCTTCGTGGAACTCGACTCCCAGATGGGATATTGTCTGCGGAGAAGGTCGGTGTACCTCTCACCTTCGAACAGCCTAACCGTTCCGCAAATAGTCTCTAAGAAGCTTACGTAATCAGCGTATGCTTTTCCATCGTTGCCACCCATCCTGAATCGATGCAATTATTCTTCAGAAATTGTGGTTAGAACAATGTGACTTTTCATTCAGAAATCTGAACTTTTGGACTTGCAGCCTTGATTAGCTTCGATGGCGCATTTTAGCGTTGGCGGATGACAGGTGTTGGAGAGAGAGATATCCATATGCAAGTCGAAGATGTAACATTCACAAGGCGAAATTTCTCCGCGGTCGATGGCTATTGTTTCGTCACTAGACATCCTTTCGTAACGTCACGCCTTATTGCTCGGTGTATGTGACTGCAACGTAGATCACGGATTTCCGATACTTGATACCTTAATCAACCTGAACTCAATCTGACCTAACCACCGAACAACCTTAGCTAGACCTAGATCAAATATTTCTACCCAGTTAAGAGTATGGACCTCTGCGGCTGACCTTGACGTAACTGAACACCAATCAACTGAGATCAGACCTAATCATCTCGATCAGATTAACGTTGGATGAACGCAAACCCTGTTTAACTTTGGACAATATGACTTTGTCCAAACTGAGTCGCAAAGCTATGTCTGCTAACGTATTCACAATAATCTTATTCTAACCCAACTTTCGTATGTTAAACTTGATGCAACGCAGCTCTTCTACCTTCGTCTTGATCTAACTAAATAACTATTTACCTTAATGTTCACCTTCTAATTTAATCTTCATCTATTGTCCAACAAATTAAGTATTTCCAGTGTACCATCTTTGCTGGCATTAGGTGAATGTTAGGTTAGCAGCCGCTATTTTGACAGTGAGCGAAGTTCCCGCCATTTTGACAATGAAGTTCCCGCCATTTTGACAATGAAGTTCCCGCCATTTTGACAACGAAGTCCCCGCCATTTTGACAATGTAGTTCCCGCCATTTCGCCACTGAGCTAAATTCCCGTACATCAAGACAAAATTTTCCTTTGTATTTCAAAATATAACACTAACAGTCGATAGACATGTTTTTTCGAAACGACACAGCCTTGTACCTCGTATGCATTAAGTAACGCTCTTTACACTTTGCACATCTGTGCACTGCTCTCAGGTGACGTAACACTAATTATACTCTCAGGTGTAACGAGGCAAGGCAGCTCTAAAGATCGTTCGAGCTCTCGAGTGGCACTCGATCGTGAGCGAAAGAAACGCGGTACTTGTTGTTATCGGTCGATGACGAACCGTGGTTCAAAGGCTTTGTCTTTTCTATCATTGCTGTCTGTGTTGTTTGCGCGGTCGTTTCATCATCGGCTCCTATCGTAATTACACAGCGTCTTCAGATACTTCGGCCGGGGTATCGTCATTGTGTTCTATGAATAGTAATTGGAAGCGAAAAGGAGTTTATAATAAGTGCAGAGAATTTCTCCTAGGGAACATTTCCCTCGCGAATATTGCCTGGGGGCATATTTTCTTAGGAACATCTATCCAGTATGTTACGAATATTTATCTCGGGGAATAGTTTCGGATATTCGCCTCGGGGGATATTTTCACCTTAAACATTTATCCTAGGGAATATTTTCGCTTGGAATATTTGCTACAGAGTTTCTCCCTACGGAGAGAGATCTTGAATGTTTGCACTGTATTTTCACTATAAGCCCTGAGGAATATTTTCGCCTTGAATATTTGTTGTAGGGAATATTTTTACTCCTAAGGGAATCTTGTTCCTAGAAATGTAACACGAAGTACCTAGGAATATTTTTGGTGATAAATAGCAATATTTATTTCCCACGTGCAACGCATTCGAGACAATAAATCTAGCAGTGTCGCAACAGTAAATAAAAAGTGAAGACTCGAAGCTAACCTAGCATTTGAATTTGGCGCCAAAAAGTGGTGTCGAGAAGACATCTGTCAAGCGACCTAATAAAAAGCGTTCGGTAAATTTGCAATTAGTAAACACATGCGTATATTTTTAGCCTAAGGCGCGTTAGTATGTTCTAGCAGCTATTCAACATGGCTGGTGTAGGACAGAAGCAACAAGGTAATGATGACGTTGGTGTAATTTACTGTTTATGACGCTTACTGCTGGACAAAGGGTGAACGCCAACTGCTATTTTGTCACGAATTGGATGTCGCGTTGAATCGTAACGATACTTTTGTGTGCACGAATAAAGGCACGAATTAAAATATTTCAGACATTGTTCACGTAAAAAAATTCGCATAATCACATCGACAACGGGGACCAATAGTCGATAGAAATTGTGCAGGGTTGTATTTATGGTTGCAGTTTCTTCAGAACCTGGGCAAGGTAGACAGGACCGCGGACGACATATTCGACGAGCATCTGCAGAACTTCATGAGGCAACAGAACGCCGCGAACAGGCTGCAGAAGGAGTTCAACAACTACATCAGATGCGTTCGAGGTAAGACACGATTATCGCGTAAGAATAAGTACGCTAATTGCCCGAGAAATTTTGACGGTGAAAGGAATGACCAAACTTCGGTCATTTTCCGAATTGGAACTCCGGTTCCACGTCAATTTTTATCGAGTCACGGCCTTGATTTGCGTGCAATTTTGCGCGGCAACTTGCTCGTTATAGTAACTAGCAAATTAGATGCTGAACCAGTACGAGAACCAGTTTCATGCGACCTGTTTTCACCTTTAAAGTGTGGTAAAACACGTTCTTAAACGGAGGATGTGACAGAAAATGCTCGTCTGACAAATAATATTAGAGGAGCAAATTTTGTTGGGGACTTTTAACTGGGATTTGTTGGATGTTGTGTTCACTGGGGATGTGCCATTTGTGGGATGCAAATGTTTAGTGTGAGAGGTTAGAGATGGGGTAGTTGAGAGATATGGGAGTTTAGGGATGTGGGGAGTCAGAGATATTAAGGTTTAGGGATGTGGGGAATTAGAGATATCAAGGTTTAGGGATGTGGGGATTTAGGGATGTCAAGGTTTAGGGATATGGGGATTTGGAGATATCAAGGTTTAGGGATGTGGGGAGTCAGAGATATCAAGATCTAGGGATATGGGGATTTGGAGATATCAAAGTTTAGGGATATGGGGATTTGGAGATATCAAAGTTTAGGGATGTGGGGATTCGGAGATATCAAGGTTTAGGGATGTAGGGAGTCAGAGATATCAAAGTTTAGGGATGTGGGGAGTCAGAGATATCAAAGTTTAGGGATGTGGGGATTTAGGGATATCAAGGTTTAGGGATGTGGGGATTTGGAGATATCAAGGTTTAAGAGTGTGGAGATTCAGAGATACCTCAAGATCTACAGATGTGGGGATTCAGAGATACCTCAAGATCTAGGGATGTGGGGATTCAGAGATATCAAGGTTGAGGGATATGGGGATTCAAAGATACCTCAAGATCTAAGGATGTGGGGATTCAGAGATACCTCAAGATCTAAGGATGTGGGGATTCAGAGATATCAAGGTTTAGGAGTGTGGAGACTTAGAAATATAAAGACCAAGTGAGATGAGGACTCTGAGAATATTAGAGATTTCAGGAATGTTGAGATCTGGAGATGGGACCTAGGGATTCTAGGGACGTTGAGACCTAGGAATGTTAGGATGTCCAAGTACAGAGATATCTGGACCTAGGAATATTAGAGATATGGGGGATTAGGGACACTGGGGTCCAGTTATGATTTCATTTCACCAAAATTAGACACTAGATCATCAAGCTTGATAGAGCAGTACGAACAGAAGTTACAAATGCTAGTACGTTACTCGAAAAAGAAAAGAACGTTTCATATGTACTCACAACTAGCGACGAGTATACGTACGATTCACAGATGAATGAGGGATAGATGAATAGCGAAAGCAAGCTGAATAACGACCGCCGTTTCTGCGCAGGCCCTACGCTCAGAAACGTCAATCGTTGAAAGAAACAGACGTAATAATTTCATGTCTGATGGTAGTACTACGGGATCACGTGGATCTAGAATCTAGAGAAACTCTATACTCACAAGGACTTAAATTGTTCAAAATAATTAAGTCGATTATGTCAAGTTTCACTCACAATTTTCTATTTAACATGTACCTATAAAATTTTGTATATAAGATTGCAGTAATGAGGGGTAGAATAGACTCGCGTTATATTGCAACTTTCATGTGGACCTGAGACGAACCAAATGTAGGAGATACAATTTCAAATTTATACCAGTAAAGCTTCTTTCGATAGTTAGGTAAATATTACATTGTACAAGACAGCATATAGTTGTTAAAAACAGAGACTCTCGTTATATTGCCACTTTCGTGTGAACCTTAGACGAACCTCCCAATACAGGAAATAGAATTTCAAATTAATACCTGTAAATTTTCTTTTGGTAGTTAAATAGTAAATTTTACAAGACAGCTATTAAAAAAGTTCAAGCTGACTCGTACTTAACTGAACTCTGTAATTTGTTAGCTCTAATCGTTACTCGGATGTTTACATAAACGAGTTTGTCCCGTAATGCTAATTCTAAATGTGCAGACGCTGTACTTGCTAAAGAAAGTCATGATCGAGTATGTTAGAGAAAAACAGTTACTGACATTTCAAGAAGTAACGATAGGGACAACAGCACTTTGAACTTCTAGTTCTTTATCTGCCAATGGCGTAGCGCAACCTTTAGTATTTCAAGATATTCTTATTTCACTATTTTTAATTTTTATATCAACACTAATTTTATATCAATTATCTGTTTCATTAAATTCTTTAGCTATTAAAGTATCCTCTTAGGGTACGCCATTTTGTTTTACGCCATTACGCCATTTTAAATCAGTACTCCATCTTATGTTTGCATACTGATAAATTTCCTATTGAATTCAAAGATTACTATATATATTTAGTAATTTATTGCCAAGCAAAAAATTATTTCTTTTAATTAAAATTTTAACGAAGAAGAATTAAATAGTACAATAAAAATTTTCTTCGGAAATTCGCGTCTACGCCGATGCGTTTTACCTTTCGTTTTATCAGTCGAGACGATACGTAACAGCATTCGCACATAAATGCCCGCATGCGCCGTACAAATGGTAGCCCGACGTAAAACTTGTCGATAGATTCAGCCTTTCCGCATTCGCAATGAAATTCCTTTTTCTCTACCTTTAGGACTTCTTTCCGGTGAATTATTAACATTATACATCTTAGCAATAAAAAACTTCCAAAAAAAAAACTGCCCCCTTACAGTTTTCTGCCTCCTCTCCTTATATTGCCGCTAACAATAGAGTCAAAATGGTGGATCATATACTACTTAGTATGCCATATACATAGACCTATACGTAGACAACTATTCTAAAGTGTAAACTTGTTCACACTTGTTCTACTTAACATTTAGTACATAAATTAAATACAATTGTTTATACATTATTATTTATTTACAGCGGTGCAAGCAGCGTCGAAGACACTCATGGATTCCCTGAACGAGATCTACGAGAGCCAATGGACCGGGCATGATCTCCTCTACGTGCAGGCTCAAAATCTAGACATGTTGTGGCAAGACTTCACTCATAAGCTTGCGGATCAAGTCCTGGTGCCTCTCAACACTTATCAAAGCCAGTTTCCAGAAATGAGGGTAAATACTTAACCGCATCATCAATTTGTCTTTAAAAAAATTGTAACAATATGTTTGTTACAGAAAAAGATCGACAAACGCGGACGAAAATTGGTCGACTACGATAGTCAGAGGCATAACTTCCAGTCGCTACAGTGTAATCCGAGGAAACGGGACGAGCTTAAAGTATCTCGAGGAAAAGAGCTGTTGGAGGAGGCGAAACGTACATACGAGCAACTAAATTCAGAACTTCACGACGAGCTACCTGCCTTGTACGACTCCCGCGTTCTTTTCCTCGTTACTAATTTGCAGACTCTTTTTGCTGCTGAGCAAGTGTTTCACACTGAGAGCGCTAAGGTATGACGCCGACGGTGTCTCATTTCTCTGAACTTTTACAAAACCTTCTCAGACATTTTACTCTGTACATATCACAATTTTGCTCATGTTTACACAAAGGTTATACTAACCCTCTTCCTAACTTACATTTAGGTATATTCCGAGCTGGAAGCGATCGTCGATAAATTGGCAAATGAAAGTCAGAGAGGATCATACACCCTGAAGAAGAACACCGAGCCCCAATCGCCAAAATCACCGAATGCCAACTCTTCGTAAGTCAGACATATAATTGAAGCAAATAATCTAAGCGTCTACATACGTCTTTACTTGTTTCAGTTTAATAATCAACACACAACCGGCTCAGAACAATATTCTACCAGGTAAATATTTGTATTCCTGTTCTGAGAGTGATTTTGATGCCTTTGTGCGTTTCTTTTGAGGTCGTTTGGTGTAGAGACTAATTAAGACTGCATGCGTGTAACGTAATACGGCCATGCCACATAAAACCTTCCCGCAGACACAATTGTGTGGCTAAATGTTTAGTTTCGAGTGAGCTTTATTGCGTGTTACAGCCGTGGATGATTCCGCTCCGGCAGCGAGAAACACATCGCCAACTACTCAATTAAACGGCAATGCTAACAGCAATGCTAACAGCAATGATAATTCCCTCAATAACCAGGACGCATCTCCGCAAAGCACAGTAGCGGCCTCTAAACGAGTCGAAGAGCTGTACGATATTCCTGTTGGTAAGTACGAAACCTGCCGGTTGTTTCGCGACGCAATTTCAGAGATCTATTGAGTGCATTGAAATTTTTTGTCGGATTGTATTTTACACAAGAGCATCTGATTAAATTAATTACGTTCAATATGTATTTGCTAAAAGTTCTTCATGCAAGTCTCAGTAAAAAGTATATGTCAAAGATCAGGTTAATTTGTAGAAACTTTTAGCAAAAGTTTCAAACAGTTGATCAAATTATATTTCAGGATACATGTAACATATAATAAGTGCACACGTAAGATTGTTATATTATAACATTATGTTGCCTGCCCATTTGTGCATGGTCTTGTTGAGATGACAAAAAAAATCTTGATTCGTTAATTCTGACTCTCAGTTATATGTATCAAAATTTTGCAAACAGGAATGAAAAGAAACTAAATTGTGTTTGTGCATAATGAATGAAAGTCAGAGTTTAAACGGAACTCCAATCACAGGTCCATGACTAATGAGGCGGATTCAATTATTTTAGAGGTGGAATATGAAAATGGTACCAATTTCTCTGTAGGGGCGACGACTGATAACTTGCCACCTGGGGTTTTGTATAGAGTCAAGGCTACTTACAAGTACAGATGCGAGGATGTGGATGAATTGTCTTTTGATGTTGGTGATATTATTCGTGTAGTGGAGTACGATGACCCAGAAGAACAGGTTCGTATGTCCTTCATAGTTATGATACTGGTAAGAATAAAGTAATGCATGTTAAGAAATTTTTTGTTACTTTAGGAGCAAGGCTGGTTAATGGGTATCAAAGAAGGTACAAATGAAAAGGGTATGTTCCCAGCAAACTTCACGAAACCTCTGTGAGAGCTTTACTAAATTTATCTATTACACTCCAATGCTCACTGCAATAGCGTATTCTATTTAAAGAAAATAGTTACAACATGTAAAAAGTGAAAACGATTAAATAATGAATATACAATGAGAGGCAATGGGAAAGGAAGGGGATGTGATGAGATAGTTATGCTGGAAGGTACTGTGGAAAATTTATCACCCCAAAGTGCCTTAACCCAGCCACTGTCTGTGCCAACGTTCATTGTCTATAATATGGGATTATCTTTTTCCCATTTTTCAATATACCAATATGCATCATTAATAATCAAATGAAATATTTAAGCGAATAATATATTGTAATACACCACGCAATACTATAATATAAAAGGTATATATAAAAGATATATATATATATATATATATAAATATAATTTTATGAAATTGTACATAGAATTATACATTTTAAGAATATTTTATGAGATAACTTTGTGGCCACAGAAATTCTGAAATTATCATTAGGAACTAATTTAATGATCACGGCGCACCTTTTAGCGGGAAGTGATCACATATTTGAGAATCCAATTACCTATTTACATTGTTTATATCAAGATTTTACATTCTTTACTTATAGAAATGAGAAAAGTTAGAACCGTAGATCCCATTAATGGTATCGACTTACATAATCATTTTTCAGTGTAATATTAATCAGTTTCAATATACTAATATTGAATCAGAAAATGAACACGCTGGAATAAGAGGATTTTTTTAATACAATTTTATTAATGTGATGATATGACGGGACATGCACGAAAGTTTACGGATCAAATTTTCTTTACACTTCTTCTACCCTTTGTTGTAGTAAATCGTAAACGTTCAATGACCAAGTATTTTCTGATATACGTACATACATATATTATATAGAAAATCAAACGATAGTGATTAGATTACTGTTACTGCCCTTGCCTCTATTTGTGTAGTAAGAGTAGCATGAATATCAGTGAATGGTCCAATGAAGAAAATTTGTAGTGCTAATCAATACTCGTTGATTATACCGACAACATTTTTGCACCAAACTTTATGTAATAAATAGAGTTACAATAATGTACGGTTATATAGTACAAGGAGAATATCAACTTCAGCTTCCACTAAGTCGTGTGTCCTTTTATCATTATATTTGCATTGATCTAAGACGTACAGAACATAGGAAAGTTGGATTGCTTATTTTATAAATGAAATGCTTTATGATTGAACGATTGATCCATTGTCACACTAACAATTAATCCTACATATGAATTAAAACTCTAAACAAATGATACGTTCACTTGAAGAGCATTGTAGGTGCATGTTATGAAAAATGTATTGACTATTTTACAGTTATATATTTATGATATTGATAATAGATGAACGTATATTTATATTCTATAAAGTGGACCAACAGGAAAACATGCAAAAGAAAGAAAAAAGGCAAAAAGAGCTATTCACAAAGTAACAGCAGAGAATGGCTATGTATCAGTGTACTTTTTCTGTTCTTCAAAAAAGAATTTGGAGATGTTGAATTTAATTAATGTAACAAATTGATAATTGAAATATGTTATTATACCATGCTTTGCTTTAATAAAATTATTACGTAATCTCATAATGTGAATACAAACACATTCCAACGATTTCAAATAAACAATTTGATTCAAAGCAGTTCTATTTTAGAAAAAACAACTTTAATTTCAATATTACTGCTGTAGTCACATTGGTTTAATCTCAACTAATCCTGATCATCACCATTTACGTAATAATAAAGAAAAAGTGGAGCATGAAAATTGTTAATTTCTTCAAGTTTAGATTCTTCATTTATATACATGGTAGCATTGGTTTGAAAATGATCAAGTAGCAAATATTATTGATGTATATTAAAAATGTGCCAATATGATATAGTATTATTAATATTATTAATGTATATTATTAATATAATGCCACTGATGCGACTATTAGGTTGCAAGCTAAATGCAGTTTCTAGTATTACACTTGAAAGAACGGTTATGTACATCAAGAACGTGAATACTAAATGTGAGTAATCATAATTATTCGATGATACATCTACTAACATGAATTATTCAATTCATTGGGAAGCAAGAAAATGCATTTAATTTAATTTAAAAGAGACGACTGGTAAAAAAAGTATATTATTCTTCCCGCTTCCTCTGAAAGAAAAAAGAAAAAAAAATCACAAATTTGATAACAATAAGTAGATATGAAAAATGTAATCAAAAAAATATCATATCATAAAGTAACTGTTCTATATCATTTTAATATATTTGTAAAGAATAATACAAAAAATATATAAAACGTCGGTGAATAATGTTTTCTAAACTTTAATGCGTAGAAAATAATTTATTGTTTAACGAAAATGTTTTAAAAACTAGCGGTCGCTACCTGTCTTCTTTATATTTGTATTTATTAATTTATTATATTAATATAACATGCAAGCAACAAGCAACTGTTGATATTGATTAGAGTTTTTAATGCACCCATGTAATAACACAGAGATCTGAAATTTAGTGTAGCAGTGGAGCAACCAGTTGTTATATCATTTATAATTATAATGCGTATATACATTTATCGCTATAATTGTCCTTTTCAGTTAAAGACGATTATAATAAACAATTACTGGTTTGTAACATAAGCGTTTATGATTTAACTGCGTGTCTTGTTTAATAATGTACCCTGTAACGTGTCCTCCTTATGATCTTCCATTAAATTATCTTACATAAAAGTATACCAATAAATTAATATAATAAATACGAAATTTAGTTATAACTACCATTATTCTTATTTTCAATAATGCAACAATATTAACTTTTATAGGAAACTATCAGAATATTGTTTGTGTAGCAAACAATAGCACATACAGATTGTTTAAGATGTTATTTTAATATATGTATTGTTAATAAAATAAAAGTGAAACTAATTTTCTTTCCAAACTCTTAAAAATCTTAAAAAAATTTGAAGTTATACTACAGGATAAATGTACAACTTTGATACATTTGAATTTAAATTCAGTTACTCTTGAAATTCTTATTCAGCATGTGTAATCTTTATGTGCATCTCAATTAGCTGCATATAGCATATTTAACATTAGTCATCTATTAGCACTTCCTCAACTTATCTCATAAATTTTTAACTCTGATTCAACATATTTAACAGTATGGTTTCAACAGGTATATTAAATACTTTAAATATTATACAGAAGTAAACTGAATACTTCAAAACCTCAATAATTACTTATGTATAATGGTTACATTTGTGTACAAATGGAGTTCAAATATTATTTCATCTAACCAATGAAAAATTTTATAATTCAAAAACGGATATTATAAGTAAAACGTTTATAAACGTTTTAGAAATGTAACAATATTCACTGCTTGTACTTTATTTTCACACTAACAATAAAATATCCTGATGACTAACACTAGTCAGAACCTCATTTGACTCCAAAATGTAAAATAAACCACGTGAATGAAAAATAAATAAAACTAAATGAAAATGATAGTGGTATTATAGGTACTCATGGATCTTAATCTAAGAAATGTAGTGTACACAAGCTATGGACTTCGTGAAACCTTATATTAAGACACTAATCCCATTATGAAATGATGCCAAGGTTTGACCGTGCCACTGAAATCTAGATTGTAGAAATATGAACCAGTTATTTATTTTTCATTCTTTCCTTTTAATAAATTACAATAAAGTTATGTAAAAATATCTCTTCCAAATATTGAGATTCAACGCAGTACCACTACTTCAATAATTTACAGATATACAAAATCATTTTCAGAGGTACTAAAAAAAGAGTCACAGGTAACTTTGTCTCTTTATTAAATGCCATGTTTTAAATTCCTCCACTTCAATATTTATCTGCATAAACACACTTAGCTTTATTAGTTTTCATTTACATTTGTGAACACTTGCACAGTACAGGTACTGTTATATTACAAAAACAATTCAAAAAACAGAAGTAACAATACAAAACATATTATGTATCTATAACTATCATAATCTATCAAATGTTATTAAAAATAAAGAGAGGAAAAATGTAGAAAGTTTAGGTAAACTAACCGGTAGTAGAAGAAGAGAAGAAAACGGAGAGACAAAAGAAGGAAGAAGATGCAAGCAGCGTCAAAGAGTGCACACGTGAAGTTTTAGGGTGTGTTTTGACTGAACGAGCGAATGCTCATTTTCCCCCACTTTGGTAAAATACAAACGTAGAGCATTCTTTGCAGTTCGATTGTTCATCAAATGCTCGTTTGTCGTTTTCCATTCAATTTAGTTTGACTTGATTCAATTCAATGTACCTAGAACAACTTAAAAATTTTTAATTGTAGAAATACTAAAATTTACCAATTTAGAATTTTAAAAGTAAGAATTTGGCAAATTGGAAATATGGAAATTCAGAACTATAGAAATATGAGATTTTGAAAATTTTCAAGGTAAAAGGTTTCGACTGATTGTATGGAAATTTCAAATTTTCAAATTAGAAAGCACCGACGAAGGCTTAGTTAGCAATCCGATATATTCTAAACGAGCAGGAGCGAGCGAACGCTCTCGCTCCAGTGGAGTCCGGTTCCAGCTCGTCCAGTCAAAACGCACCCTAACAAGTAGTAGTATCATCGTCGTCGTCGACGGTGGCGGCGGCAGCCGTGTCGCTGCGATCCGTCAGAATCGGTCGGTCTAACAGAGCGTAATCTAACCTATATCCGAATCACCGCGGCGCTATTACGTTCTCCGTGCCTCCTCCCCGGCGGGTGGCGGCCGCACCTCCTCCTTCTCGCCGATTTTAATCTCGTTAGCAGACACGTGCGTATTGAGATTCAACGCAGTACCACTACTTCAATAATTTACAGATATACAAAATCATTTTCAGAGGTACTAAAAAAAGAGTCACAGGTAACTTTGTCTCTTTATTAAATGCCATGTTTTAAATTCCTCCACTTCAATATTTATCTGCATAAACACACTTAGCTTTATTAGTTTTCATTTACATTTGTGAACACTTGCACAGTACAGGTACTGTTATATTACAAAAACAATTCAAAAAACAGAAGTAACAATACAAAACATATTATGTATCTATAACTATCATAATCTATCAAATGTTATTAAAAATAAAGAGAGGAAAAATGTAGAAAGTTTAGGTAAACTAACCGGTAGTAGAAGAAGAGAAGAAAACGGAGAGACAAAAGAAGGAAGAAGATGCAAGCAGCGTCAAAGAGTGCACACGTGAAGTTTTAGGGTGTGTTTTGACTGAACGAGCGAATGCTCATTTTCCCCCACTTTGGTAAAATACAAACGTAGAGCATTCTTTGCAGTTCGATTGTTCATCAAATGCTCGTTTGTCGTTTTCCATTCAATTTAGTTTGACTTGATTCAATTCAATGTACCTAGAACAACTTAAAAATTTTTAATTGTAGAAATACTAAAATTTACCAATTTAGAATTTTAAAAGTAAGAATTTGGCAAATTGGAAATATGGAAATTCAGAACTATAGAAATATGAGATTTTGAAAATTTTCAAGGTAAAAGGTTTCGACTGATTGTATGGAAATTTCAAATTTTCAAATTAGAAAGCACCGACGAAGGCTTAGTTAGCAATCCGATATATTCTAAACGAGCAGGAGCGAGCGAACGCTCTCGCTCCAGTGGAGTCCGGTTCCAGCTCGTCCAGTCAAAACGCACCCTAACAAGTAGTAGTATCATCGTCGTCGTCGACGGTGGCGGCGGCAGCCGTGTCGCTGCGATCCGTCAGAATCGGTCGGTCTAACAGAGCGTAATCTAACCTATATCCGAATCACCGCGGCGCTATTACGTTCTCCGTGCCTCCTCCCCGGCGGGTGGCGGCCGCACCTCCTCCTTCTCGCCGATTTTAATCTCGTTAGCAGACACGTGCGCGCCCCCGCGCCTACAGACCACTATACGACGACCTACGGTGTGTCGGGGCTTCGCCAATCTGGTTTGGTCTAACAGGATTCTCGAGCGACCGAGGGTTGATAAAAGGCTGCGTACCGAGCGGGCGCGGCGCGAATCGCAGGAGGAGTTGCTCCGTTCAAGGTGTGGGCGCTCGTGTGCAGCCAGCGGCGGCAATAACAGCAGACGACCTCGTCATCGTCTTCTATTCTCTCGTTCCCGGTTCGTTGTTTCCGTGTCTACGTTGCCTCGCGATATCGGGTTCGTCGTTTTGCATACGTTCTCCGCGGGCCAGCTCGCGGTGCGTGCGTGTATGTGTGTGTGTGTGCCTGCACACGGTGCATATTCAGTGTGAATCTATCTCGCTGCGTGTACTCTTTCTATATAAAAGAGGTATAGCCCAGAGTGAGAGAGCGAAAAGCGTGTGCGTGCGAGCGAGCGAGAGAGACCGACCGAGCCAAGAAGAAAGAAAGGAAGGGAAGACAGAGGAGCGACAGAGAAAGCGGAAAAGGAGAAAGATACACAGAGACAGAGAGAGAGATAGAGGAGGGGGCGAAAAAGAAAGAGAGCTAAGGAGAGACAGAGAGCATACGAAAGTAGAAGGAGACAGAGCACCGGTGGGTTACCACACCCAACCGCGCCGGGGACCGAGTGAACAAGTGAACGAGCCGTACGAGAGCTCTCTCGCGAGTAGTACGCGGGCACAGCGAGGGACCCAGGGGCCGACGATCGGGATTCGACGGGAGTGCTCGCTCGGAACTCTTCAGATCTCGATCCGAGGAACGGACCTCGCGGAAATTCGCCGCGACGAAGAGGCTCGAGAACGTGTACGCGCGTGTCCCTCCGCGAGTGCGTTTCACGATAGAACGCGGTGTGTGCGTGGAACAGGAACGTCGAAGGAGATCGAAAGGGCTGAACGAGCGTGAACGAGGATCGACGAGAAGAAGAGGAAAAAGGAAAATAAGGAAAGGAAAAGAAGCAAACCAGATAGATAGAGAGACAGAGAGAGGAGGAGAGACAAGCTACCGGCCGAGGTTGGTGCGTGTGCGTACATGTGTTGATGTGTCGCTGGCGTCGTCGAGCCCTGCCAGGAGTGCTCTGTCGTCGCCGCCGCGTGTGCACAAGTCGTCGAGAATTACGGGGAGATCCCGGAGCCGCATCCGTTTAACTCGAATCGTCCACGTTGCGCGTCGTCCTTCTCGTCGTACGTGTACGAGTGTGTCTCGGGTGGTGAACACCGGTGGTTAGAGTGGTGGTGGTGCGAACGGTTGCGGGTGAATTTCGTTGATTCGGCCAGGACCAAGAGGGAAGGGAAAGAAAACAACGCCGAGAGAAGGAAAAAGCCACGAGGACGGCGACGAGACGTCGTCGCTCGTTCCCGGTAGCAAGGTAATAAAGAGGCCCGACGACGATACCGAGCCGTCGAGCCAACTGCCGTCTACGACGACACTCGCCGCACGGCAATCGCTCGCCACTACCGCAAATCGCTCGTTCCCTCTCTCTTTCCCCTCCTCCCTCCTCCCTCCCTTCCTCCTCCCTATCCTTCTCCTCCTCCTCCTCCTCCTTGTCCTTCTTTTCCACCTCTTTCTACTCGTTTTTCTCCTCTCTTCCTCTTCCGTCCGTCAAGGATCCTGCCGTCCTGAGCCATGGCGTGCTGCCTGTCGGAAGAGGCGAAGGAGCAGAAACGAATCAATCAGGAGATCGAGCGGCAACTACGAAAGGACAAGCGAGATGCCAGGCGGGAACTCAAGTTACTACTTTTGGGTGAGTTTTCACGTCATTATGTGTATTGGTTATGTTCGGTGATCGAAAATCGTTTTTCAACAATCGGATTCGTCTCGATCACTGTACGCGAAGTGATGCACGTTTCGTGCGTTCGAGACTTGACCGATCAGAGTAGTGTAGTTGACCCAGTCTAGCCGGCGTGCGCTTGACAGCTCTTAAGTGTAGTCGCTACTACACGATACTCTGTGTTTCTAGCCGGTTGACTATGTATGTATGTACAGTCGGGTGCAATGGTGGCTTTCTTTAGACAAGGAGTGGGGGAAGGTACCTTCGATCTTCACAGACTAAATTGAGGAATTTGGAAACTCTTCAAAGTCTTGTATTGTTCATTCATTTGCAAATTTATACATTACCGAGTTCCCAAATTTCGAAATCCCTTATTTTCGAATCTTGATATCTCGACATTCTACAAATGCATTTAGTCATAAAGAAATGTTCAAATTCCAAAGTTTCTGAATACAAAAATTGCTAAATTCCTAGATTTTAAAATTCTTGTATCCTGAAATTTCTGACTTGCGAATGTATAAGTAGGCAAATATATGAATGAGAAGTCAGTGACTTATGGTGTCCAGTTTCCCCCAAGTCGCCATTTTCCCTAGGGGAAACCGAACCGTGCTCTCCATTTGTAGGTACGCGTGCTGACGATCACGCACGGATTTCTCAAGCTCGACGGCACATAATGACACGGCGAACGTTTTTAGAAAATTGCTAAGATATTAAAAGCCGCGTTATTATTATCGCTGCTTTGTGGCCTGCCGATTGAGCGAATCGATTTTCCTGTACGAGACGATTATCGCCGTTATACGGTTTTTATAACGTTCTCCAGCTCGTGCCGTGGAAATCTTGCAAAGTTTGCAGCGCGTTGCGAGAAAAATTCGTTCGAAGTTGAAGAAAATTCATTGTGTGCCTCTGCAACTGTTGATAATCCACGCTATCGGCGAGTAAATGGTTCGAACGATAGACGGCAAAGTCGATTCTAAAATTAGTACAGTTATCGAAAGGTTCATGCTGATCTTACGTGTACGGGGATGACCCACGCAACTGGGCCAACCTATAGGGGATAGAGGTGCTACTATCGATTATCGATACACTATCGATACGTTATTGATACCTGACAATATATCGATAGTATCGTTTAGTCCGATGAGACTCTACTTAGAACAAAAATATTATTTAAATTAACATAACCTATTTTCAAGTAAGAATAATTATATTTGTATAACATGTGTTGCAAGGTTAGGTTTTATCCTAGGATAAAATTAGGGTAGATTAAGTAAATTAATTTAGGTTAGGTCAGATTTGGTTAGATCGGTTTAAGTTAAATTAGATTATTGGTAAGTTAGATCAGGTTATTCAGGTCTGCTAGATTAGTGCAGATTAAATTCAGTTAGGTTAGGTCAATATATAATTATTGTGCATGTCATGTTAAATTTTATTGTTAGGTACATTGTCTAAAAATGCTTTCAAATGACTTACAACGTGATTCTCTTTCGGTCATATATCGGTAAATGGTACGGAAATCGTTAAAGTGGCCACAAATGGTACATGTACCCTAATGTGTAACAGAATCGGTAACGCGAACCATGGTCGTGTTTCAGATCCCTTTGTCGTGACACTTTTTTTTCGCTGGCTTGTTATGCGCATTGTTTCCACAAGACTTTCACGGCTTTGTGATTCACGCAAAATACATGTTCACCTAGCCATTCCGGCGATACGAAACCCGAGCTAAACGTGCTCGAAGCAGTTTTCGAGTTTGCCAGCTCTTTAACCCCGCTTTTCTTCCTCGTCTTACTTGTTTCTTCTTCCCGCTGAACTTTGACGCATCATTTCGTTTGTCGTACTTGTATACACACGCGATAGCTCTTCTCGTTTGGTCCGAGTAAACATGGCTTTATCCAACTACACGTTTCCGCGAGATAATGACCTAAAGTAGTTGGACATTTATCGACGACAGATTTACTATCCCTCATTATTAACATCGTAGATCAGCTCTCTCTTTGCACTTTTTATATTGCAATTTTTTTGTATGTGAATCTGTAAATTATTAACAAGGTTTTATTCCTTTTTTTAACAATTAAAGTAAAATATTACAATCATGAAAATTTTTATCCGTTGTAATATTTTATAATGGAAGTATTTTATTAAAAATATATTTGCAAGAGTGATTCAAATATTTTATTAGGCACTGTAATGAATTCTTTCCGAATGATTTGGTCATATAACGCGTGACGATACGGCGTTTGGTAATTGCACGTGGGGTAATATAACGCGTGCCAGTTGCATGTGTAACAAATTCACACGTGACATTTCCACACGTGACGATATAGCGAATAGAAATTGTACGTGTAGCAATTTCGCGCGGAACAATTGCACAAACCGTGTAATTATTTGAAGTAATTAAAGTTTCAGAATTTCCAATCTGTTCCTAGTTGAAATCACCAGATTTGAAAACTTGGTAATATTTCCAAATTCGAAAAGTTTCCTTGTTCGTCTGTTTCCGTGTTCCTCTCTCTCTCTCGCTATATGGCCACTTTCCAAAGGAATCCCATAACCTTAAACACACGGAAGATCACAAATTTGGCTTGATTTCGAACTTACAGAATGCGTGGAATATCCTGGTGTGATACTCTTATGGTAATACCGGTCCGTCGAAGGTTAAGAACTTAATCGGTGCACGATGAATAGTGTGTTATGGGAGAATGTGACCGAGAAAATTATTCCATGCTCGCCAGGCAACTCACGTCCCCGTGGCCGGAAGAACAGAGTCCGAGTTAATGCCTGAAACTTATTTCTGCGCTTACTCTAAACCCCGAGACTAGAAATACAAACGGTCGTAAGAAAAACCGACCGACATTCCGATCCGCTAAGTAATATGCTTTGTTTACGGAAACCGTCCAACGTTCCTCGCTACTTTCCGTCAAACCCATTTTCGTCCATTACATACCGCATTCGAAATTCGTCGGACTCCATCGCGCTAGAGATCCTCCAATCACGGCCACGACATTACGGTATCGATTTTGATTGGTGCCGCCATTTTTCGGCTAAATCCTTCCCGCGAAATTTGAATTGTTAACTACGCTGTTTTTTTACTAATCGTTGCAGCTACTTTAATTATACATTTTTATAATATTTGGTAGGAATAGAAGGGACTATAAGTTCTATTTCTTTTTAATATTTAATAATTAATATTATATATTAATTTTATGTGTATATGCATGAATTGTATGTAACCTTCAATTATAAATAGTTACATTTCACCCAAATTTTAGATACAATAACTATTTAAATATTCGAATTTAAAATACTTGTAATTTTTGTATTAACTTGCTTCTCTAAAAATGTAAAGAATTTTATAGAAGTGACATTCCAAAAATAAATGGATCCCTTATGAATAATTAATCGTCACGTGTTTCCAAAAATAACAACCGAGCGATTAGAATATGTAATCACCATTCTAAACTGAATTTAATGCGATTTATATTGGTCGAAAGTATGCTTGGCCATCGAGAAACGATTATCAGGAAGAATGTATTAAAGTATTCAGATTATTCTCAAATAATTTTACCTATTTCTTTTCACATAATTGTGTGTCTCCGAAATTTGTAAATTTGAATTGAATTTTTTTCTCATGCAAAAGTAGCTTAATCGAACGTGCCCGCAGATCCGGAAGTACTGACATTGAAGATTGCAGTTGCTTCCGTGTCGTTGTGTATCGCTTATCAATTGTGTGACATTCATTGTAAAGTAGATTAAAAGGTTACGTTTGAGACCTTGATAGGTAAAATCCTAAAATAACTTTTATATGCACAAAAGTACTACTGTCTATAATTTACAATTTGAAGATGTAGAAAATGGTACAAAATGGCGGTTACTGTCATGAATAAATTTTTCAAATCCCGAAATTCCCCAAATCCCAAATTTCCCAAATTCCAAATTTTCCAAATCCCAAAATTCCCAAATTCCAAATTTCCCAAATCCCAAATTTCCCAAATCCCATATTTCCCAAATCCCAAATTCCCCAAATCCCAAATTCCCCAAATTCCAAATTTCCCAAATCCTAGAATTTCCAAATCCTAAACCCTCAAATCCCAAAATTCCCCAAATCCCAACAGATCATGTTACTTAAGAGAAAGCTAAGAAAAAATTGTACCTGCATCTGTCCATATCCCAAAGCAGAAAATTCTGAGAAAATATAAAATATACAAAACTTACACTTGTTGAACTTCCATTTAGAATTCAGAGATGTAAAAAGTCAGCAAAATGTCGGTGCACGAACTCCCACAATGCAATTGATTTGAAAAGATGGCGGAAATTTTGAATGTCTCATCAGTGATTTCACAATTCTCTATGTCGAAAGGGAGAATAAAATTTTCTCTGCGCTCACTATTTCCATCTATAAATATTTCTCGGAATCTGTACTTCTCTGACACATTTAAGATATTAAAAACTTCAACCGTTTTTATGTCAGATCATAGTGCAGTTTTTACGGCTTCCAGCAAAGTCTGCATCAAGTTCAAGGTTTCAAGCTGCGCCGCCATTTTGCATCATTTTTTATATCTCTGGGTTGTAGACAAAGAATTAAGTTACATTTTTTCACGACTCGTAGATGAAGTTGACAGATAAAGGAAGAGGTAGAATTCCTTCTACGCCTTCTAATATTTTTTAAGTAAACAATATTTTTAATTATTTATTCGAGTGTGTTAAATATTTTTAAGATTCCAACACCCTGAATTGATGATCAAGAATAAAGTGGAATCCTCGAGTGATCAAATTTCGTTAATCGAATTTGCGCAGATCGATTGTCGAATAAATAAAAATGTTGATACGAAATTCTTTTTTTACTTTCTCAGCGCATGACGGCACGATTATGCGTGCTGGAAATTTAATCGTCTTCTATTCTGCATCTGTTGCTTGATTTACAACATTATTACGCAACCGGTAGAAGTTGCAAATTTTGCATGTAATTTGAACGCAGGCATGTTCATAAGTAATTCGTTAATTAATTCTGCCAGCTTTTTTCGTCCTCGAAATCTTTTATGTAATTCTATCAAATTTTAGTGTGCGTTTAATGGATTTAAATTTAGCGAACCATGTTACATGTAGGAGAGGAAGATTTTTAGTTTGGTTGAGAATATTCGTGTCGGTCAAGTTATGCCGCTTTTTGATCGACATTGTTGAATTCTTCTTCCGATGATCTTAATCTTTTTTCTTCTTTCGACGAAATTAATTTTAGCACGCTGGCTGCCAGCAACGAGGGCAACGTGGGCACCGGAAATGTTCGTGCATTTCTTTCGACACTCGTTAACGAACTTTCATTCAATATTATGGGTACTGAATTCACGAATTTATGCTGGATTCCCAAATTTCTCGAATTCCAAAATTTCCAAATTCTGAACTTTCAAATCCCAAATTTCTCAAATTCCAAATTTCCCAAATTCCAAATTTCCCAAATCCCAAATATCCCAAATTCCAAATTTCCCAAATCCCAAATTTCCCAAATCCCAAATTTCCCAAATCCCAAATTTCCCAAATCCCAAATTTCCCAAATCCCAAATTTCCCAAATCCCAAATTTCCCAAATCCCAAATTTCTCAAATTCCAAATTTCTCAAATTCCAAATTTCCCAAATTCCAGAATTTCTAAATCCCAAATATCCCAAATTCCAAATTTCCCAAATCCCAAATTTCCCAAATCCCAAATTTCCCAAATCCCAAATTTCCCAAATCCCAAATTTCCCAAATCCCAAATTTCCCAAATCCCAAATTTCCCAAATCCCAAATTTCCCAAATCCCAAATTTCCCAAATCCCAAATTTCCCAAATCCCAAATTTCCCAAATCCCAAATTTCCCAAATCCCAAATTTCCCAAATCCCAAATTTCCCAAATCCCAAATTTCCCAAATCCCAAATATCCCAAATCCCAGAATTCCCAAATCCTAAACCCTCAAATCTCAAAATTCCCCAAGTCCCAGAATTCCCAAATTTCCAAATTTCCAAATTCCAAAATTCCCCAAATCCCAAAATTCTCAAAATCCCCCAAATCCCAAAATTCCCAAAGTCCCAAAATTCCTCAAATCCCAGAATTCCCAAATTTCAAAATTTCCAAATCCCAAAAGTCCCAAAAATCCCCCAAATCCCAAAATTCTCCAAATTAAATATTTCTCAACTCTCAAGTTCCCAAATCACCGCATCAAGAATTCGAAATTCGTGGCTCGATAAATAAATGAATTTTGTGGTTCTTGAACTAATGTACCGTTCTTGAACTCATCGCATCGATTCAATAGTAAATCGCGCGAAGTCGATCAACCATTACATCACACTCGTGACAATAGCATTGTCATCGGTTACGGTCAATGTTATAATACATCCAATTCAAAGCAACTCGTCAACTTGACCATTTAACTTCGTTTAAAAACAAGCAAGAGCCATCGTTTGACCATTCGTTTGTTATTTACCATTGAAACTGATAATCGTCAGTAAACCACATACGTTTGATACGTGTACTACGTGTGTACTAACGATGATTCAACCGTGTTTAAACTGTTGCGATAATGTTATCGCTTGCCATGAAAATAGTGACAGTTCGTTATTTCGCCATGAAATTTTAGAAATTCTAAGATGTTTCGTGAATACTGCAGCTTATATTATATTCATTTTTGGGGAATTAATTGTTTATTATTGTAAGTTAGTTTCGTATGTGTTGTATATGATCACTCGTTATATATTGCCACTCGACATTTATTGCCACTCGACATATATTGCCACTCG